ATATATATATATATATATATATTGTTCTGAATTAGAACATAATTGTTAATAAATTGTATATTTTAAGTACCTCATAATGTTCTATGCCCCCTTTTTTTTTCAATAAAAACCATTCCCATGAGAAACTACCAGAAGCATTTACTGACGAGGTTCAAATGTAGACCATGATTCCAGAGAAACTATTGGAATAAATTAAATAAATATCCATATTCATTAGCAGTCAGTTGGATTCAAAATTGCGGATTATTAAGTCACATTTTAATAAATTATAAATGAATAAATCTAAGATCTAGTTAAAGTTGCTGAGAAAGCATTTGCTCGATGTTAACAATTTGCAACGGCTCCAGTGATGTGTTGAAGTGCAAATGGCGATCGTGATTGAGAGAAATGTTAGACCACATTAATATCTGCTCCTAAACACCGATAATGAGTAATAGTTGGATTCTAAACAGTGTATGATTATATAACGTCGATGTAAACAGTGGGTGAATAGCATTAGTCTGGATTGTCTATCGAGTTATATATCCGATGGATTAATAAAAGAAATCACTATGACTTGTATAAGGTTATGAAGAAAAATTAATTTTATTGTTTTACCTCTGAGTTAAAATGTATCGAACTTTCAGTTAATATTAACATTGTTTCCCTTGAAAGCAGTTAAAAGTAGTTGGTGGATTATTTTCCCATTCAATACATTCAATGAATAACATTTTCAATGCGATGGATTTATTTTATCATCCAATGTATTTTAAAGTTGATAAAAAAATACAACTTATTGGAGTGTCTTTTTTATTGAGTTGTTCAGTTTCGTTGAATCACTTTTCATATGGTGTTCTGATACCATTGCAAAAAAATTGGCAATAATCATTTAACACACGGCAGTGGTATTTAACTGAGTAATGATGTCGAACCGGTGGAAGGCCAAGAAATATTTAAATCTTTTATGGCACAAAATATACCAATATTAAATTTGCAAAAATCACCAAACATTTTCAAAAGTATCGAAAATTTCGTTAGAAAATGAGATGACATTTATTTATTTTCTTATATTTAACAGATTTTATTTTCATATATTTAACAGATATATGTATTTATGTAAAAGTGTCCATTGTAGCGTAGGCTATAAATAACCCCTCCACAGACTAGTTTTGAACCCGGTTCGTTTCCCAGCTTCCCATTCATTGAAAATATACAACTTAAAGGCAATAAAGAACAAAATCAGGTGCGGCAAAGTTGAGTCCTCTTTTGAGGTATTGTCGATCCAATGTCATGGATATTTTGGAATTTATGGCATAGCTGTGTTTCCCAGCTTCCCATTCATTGAAAATATGCAGCTTAAAAGCTATAAAGAACAAAAATCAGGTGCGGCAAAGTTGAATCCTCTTTTGGGGTATTGTCGGTCCATGTCATGGATATTTTGGGAATTTATGGCCTAGCTGTGTGACGCCCGACACCGACTTGCACAGGGGAAAAACGGACATTGTCCAGTTCGAGAGAATGGTGTTGCAGGGGACGGGACGGAGTTTCTTTTTGATTGGGTTGTTCTTGGAAAAAAGAAAAATAACTCAAAAGGAAGGCGGGGGAGAGACCTACCCGAGGTATTAAAAAGGGTGAAAGAGAAGAAAGAGGATTCCTGCTAAGGAGCGGAGAAAGCGATACAGCTATAAGTGGGAGGCGATTGCCTTCGCTTGCGAACTTAATCTTTTACTTCGAATACTGAGATAATGGAGTTTTTTTTTTGAACTATAAGTGTTTAGACGTGCTATGTAATTAGATGTGTAGCATGGTGTAAAAAGAATCTAGGCGGAAAAGAGTAAACTTAAAGTATCTTTGTTAAATAAAGAATTATCGCCTTTTAAGCTGTGTGATCCCTTGTTTACCATTTCATTCGACACATTCAGGGATCACGACGTTACACCATGATAATAAATTTAAAATTTAAAATAAATTATAATGATTATTGAATGAATTAAGCACCTGTAAAGCTAAAAGTCGATCCTTTGACTGCAAATGAAAAATTTTTAATACAAGATAAAAACTTTTGATATTACTATTTTCAAGAATATTTGAATTATATCACTAAAATATCATAGATAATTTGAAATCAAACGTTTTTATTTCAAAACTAATATCTTCAATATCAAATTATAAATTACAAAACAATACAAATAACAGAATTCTAATTGTTATCATAAACCGTAGTAATTTAATGCACTTATAAAATAAGTTATTCAAGACTAAATGTTTTCTCGTTTTTTTAGAAGGAATAGAGATTTTTCAGAATAAAATAAACGATAATTTTGACAGTTTTAAAAGCTGAAGCATTCCTTAAAATTGAATTTTAATAACTTCTATTGAATTCTTATGCATCTTTTTTTAAGAAACTGCTTTGATCTCGACATTTTCATTTAAAATCATTCAGTTAGAAACAAAGCAAAATATCGTTTGCGAAAATCCGCTTTATGAAAATTCCATTAGAATTTCTTGAAAACTACTCATTGAAGTTATTCCTCTTAAGAAATGGAATTTTAGATATTGTCTTCACGACTCGAGAAAAGAATATTAGCTTGTAATGGAATTCTTCTAAAATGAAGAAAGAGTTTATGTAAATTTCATATTCCTTCCGGAAAAATGAGTTGTAAGAGTAAATCCATTTGTGTTGTGTAGGCGTAATTACTGTTTATGATGAAGACGGAATGGATTGCATAATTCAGCTCAGAAAAATTTCGGCATTTGCATTTTACTCAAAACGATCGATTCAGCGACACTTCATTAATAGTGAGTTCTCATGCAGCCTTACTATCAGGATAAATCGATTGAATTTTTAAGGGGAATTAATCGATGCAGTGGAACAGAGATCATTCTATTTTCGAATGGATTTTTTTTAAGAACAATTTCCATTATCAGGCTTAGATATGATGGAAATGATTGAAATCGATACTCAAATCGATAGTTTTTATTTGTATTTGTGTGTGTGTGTGTGTAAATGAATGTTATTGAAACAATGTTATGGTAGTTTTTATGAAATATAAATGTCCTGCAAGCCTTTTAATGTGAAATTTTTTTTATATAAAAATGTAAATTATTTTTAAACTATATAATTCTCCCTTAAACGAACTGTATAATTTAAAATGAAATATACTTCAGGCTACTTATATAGTAGTCTGATATATTTTAAACAAAGTCTTACTGATTGTAATTTAACACCATTTTTTTAAACCATTATAGCAGAAAATTAGCAATCGATAATCAACTTATCAATATATGATATAAATAATAACATAGATAATCCAACTTATTAAGAAATATTTTACAGAGTGTTAAAAAAAAAGGAATCCTTTAATTAGGAAAAGACTGTAGCATTTTTTTTTTTAATTCGTAATTTTTTAAAAGAAGCATTATATTCTGATGACAAATTATTTCTTTTAAGGTAATAAAGAATTTGGAATTTTGACCATTAATAATAACTATGTATTTACTTTCGAATCATAGTTCGTTTTAAATGTACAAATTTGTAATGTATAATTTGACTTTTGAGACAAACAGCGTTCTTTCAAATTTGTTTCTTTGGACTTGCTTTTTAGGCATAAAGTTCATGACGTTGGGCTATTCGCGATTTTCTCTTCACTTATCTCGAGTTTTTTTTTTTTTTTATGATTTGAAAAGGATAAAATGCCAACTCCTTGACAACCAAAGTAAAATTATTATGTGTGATTAAATTAAGATAAGGGTAATGAATTGAATTAGAGATAATGATATGTAGGCGAAATATTATTGAAAGGATAAAAAGAGAGATAGATTAAATTATAATCTGATAGATTTTGTAAATTGAATTTAATCATCGTAAAATTTAACATTTATATTAAAATTAGTTAGACGCGACTTCTAGTAAGAGTTTAACCTATAATAAAAAAGAAATTTTTGAATTGGAACGAGTGATTTGGTACACTAATATCTTATTATTTGAACATAAACAAGGATTAATTGATTTAAAAATGTTTCGAGAGAGATAGTGAGTGATCTTGGGTATTCTTTGTTGATAGATGATAAACTGTATTGTTACGAAAAGTTTTCTTCTTCTGGGTGTGTGTGAGAGCGAAAATCAAGTTCAACTCGATGGATAATGACAGATGGCGTTTTATTTGCAAATTTTCAGGACAACACACAGATAGCACAGCTTGGATAATTACAGTATATCAAATACACAGCACTTGCTCAATTTAGCGACACAGAAACAGGAACAAGGCTCACTTTTACAGACAGTCACAATTATTTCAGCAACATCAGCTCACCAGATTATTATTCTTCAGGGCGGACAGCCTTCTCAGTAATATTCTGCACTTTCTGCTCCAACAGTTCCGCTAGATTCAGGCCGTATCTCCAGCAGATTCGCTCGGCTACACTATCCTCAGCAGATCCGCTCAATCACTTCCCCGATCGGTCTACAAAGCAGACTCCACAGAAAAACTGATTCCATACGCAGACCAATTTCTTTTCTCTCGACTGTAGCTCTTGGCGAATTTATACTTATTCTGGCCAGGTGTGACGTCACAAAGGAGAATTCACTAAAAGTCCGTAACTTTCTTCCCGTTCGATTTTCCGCTTAGTTCCTTTTCTATCACCTTCTAGTACAATCCATTTATCGCCAAAACCACTAAGTTTCTCGCCAAGTCACCAAATTATGGCGAGATCCGTTACCAAATTGAAGGGGTCATAGCTTAAACTCTCTTGTTTTCGGATGACATCCCTGGAAATCCATCTTTTCCTTTATAAGGGAAGCGTTGTAGGGAAGCATTAACTCATGTTCGTAACTATATAATAGTCTTAAAAACTATATAATAGTCTATACTTAACTTAAACTTCGTAACTATATAATAGTCTTAACTATATAATAGTTCGTAATAGTCTTGTTCTGACGTTTTACAACTGGGGATTGAACTTATTGACTATTTAATTATATTTTAGGATGACTGCGAAGTTTAATAATGAAGGAATTAAGGCGCAATAACGTGGGGCATGAACCCATCGAGATTAAAAGTCTCGTGCTCTACCGATTGAACTAACTGGTTTATAATTCACAATCTTCTATTTTGAAAGAATTCAATGATAATCCTATATCGAGTCATCTTGGTAGAAGAAAAACTTACTCTCAAATCAAAGAAGTGCGTTATTTTCCCAATATTCAGAAAATCATAGGATCCCCATGTTTCAACATGCGACATATGGCAGCGTTATGATTTTAAAAAAAGCTTTCTAGCTGGATGGTTATAATTTTGAAGGAATCTAATAACCCAAATGGAACAAATTTCGATGGATTCATTAGGATGATACTCAGCCTCGAAGCTTGAAAGGTATCGTTTTCTTTTAGCAATCATAGATAATTTTTTAAACTGTGGTTGAATTAATCCTATTACGTAAAGCGTCTGCGGAAAATCGACGCCATTTTGTTTTTTAAAGATTATATATCGAGATATGGAGCTCCAATTCAGGTAGTTAGTGATAATGGCTCCTTGTTGGGCCGCATTGTAACTTAATTCCTTTATTATTAACTCCGCATCCATCTTAAAGCCTCTTAAAGAAGCCGGCGCGTCTCAATGGTGCTTATTGTTGCAATTTTATAAATATTTAGACAAATGAATTTTAATGAGCAAGTTTTTGGAAATAAATACGAGGCACAATATGTTTGAAATACAATGGAGAAGATTAAATTTACAATTTAATACAAGATAATATTGGTAACGATCATGATGGATCTGATAATTTCGAATTATTGACAAACGATATGGACAACACCCCAATTGATATCTAACTTTCAAGTTACACGATGTAAGTCCTCACTATTCTGTACGAAAGTCATCTGCATGAAGGTCATTGGCATTATTACATCTTCAAGCCCTATCAATTAAAAAAAAGGCATAAATCTATTTTAGTCATTTATTTTCGAATTGGGTTTTGTCAATTTAAAAAAGAGTGACATTGAAAATGTCAATATACTCATATTCGTAATTATTTCCAAATAAAAAAGAAGAAAAAACGGCTCCTTGTTGGCCGTAAAAAATTATTTCCTCATCTGGAAATATTACTCCGAATGGGCAATTTTCCCTTTAAACTGTTCAAATGGAAAATTTCATTTTCACATGATTCTAATTAAAAGGTTACTAGAATTTTATTATAATTTTTAAATGATAGTTAAAATTTTATGCGAAGAATATTTCTTTAAAACATCATACACGGGCTATTTGTTGTTTATTTAGAAAGAAGATAGAAAACACAGTTAAACTAATAAACTTTATAACAAACTAAATAAAGCTCTTTTGAGTGAAAAACTTCCTTGAAAATATCGTATTTCTCAGAAAAATATTAAAGCTGTCTATTTTTCATTCTCTCTCATTCTTTTAGTTTCTGCATAAATTTCTTTCACAGAAATATGTATCTATCATATTCTACGAATACGCAACATCATTAGCTGGATAAATATTACAAAAGCATTTGAAAACACATCCGAAACCTGCATGATTGATGGCGTTTTATTTAATTCATTATGACCATTGTCATCTTTCAAAGTAAAAATGGTCATATCCACCGACATAAAGATATTCTTTGTAATACGTTGGCAATTTATCAAATTTGATGAAACTTTGAGAAAAAATTTGTTTTGTGTAATACAGTTTTATTTTTGATTTTTTTGCTGATATAATATTGGGAGATTAAACAAATCAAAGTCCAATTAATTTAAAATAATCGGAAAAAAACAAATTGACGGAATATTTAAAAATGTTTATA